CTATTCCTTAAGCTACAAGGCATTGCTGTGGGCTGCGTGTGGTTTTTTGGGGGGAGCCTGTATGGCAGTCATCTTCAGACCTCACTCTTGCTTCAGTACTTTTGCCTCTTTTTCATGCACACATAACACAATAACATTGAATGCATGTTACTTTTCCTCTGCAGCTTATTGCAGTCCCTGTGGAAAAGCCTTTAAAACAATCTTGCTACAAGTGTGTAGGGTACTGAACCTGGTGATGCTCAAGCAAGTGGTGTAAGAACCATCCTGCAGGCTGGTTTCAAACTTGTGCTTGTTATTGTAAATATTTTTTCAGCTCTAAGGGGAGGCATCAAAACTTGGTCAAAAATGCATTAAATGTCCTGGGCTGGAGGCTTTCCAAGTGTGTGTAAGCCAAACGCCCCGGCTTAGTAGCAAACTCCGCACGTTCTCCTTGGATTTGCATCTCTAAACTTGTGCTTCTGTGTTCAATGTGTTGCTATTTGAGTTAAAAACAGTGCAGTTCTCAGCACGGTGTCTGGAAACGAGTCTCAAAAGCATTGGCATACTCCTGTGCACTTTGACAGCAGCAAGCCAGATACTGGTGTGAGGCAACAAAAAGGCTTGCCATGAAAGCCCAGTCAATGAATGAACTCATAAAGCTCAGGACTTATGCCACTTCCTGGATTTATGCCTCTAATTGAGGTTACAAATTAACAGCTTTATGGAACAGATGTTGTAATTCACAACTAAAACGAAGAAAGCAGTTAGAGCTGCCTGCATCTATTTGCTTACGTAGCACAGTTAAGCAGAAAACTGTTCAACTCATGGATGTTGGTGTAGCTGAGTAAGTAATGCCGACCCTGTGTAAGTACAGGAAACCTGTCTTCAAACTCCTTTATTAAGGACACAAGTGAAACAAGAGACTAATCTGGTTTGTGAGTTGTCTTACTAATTACAAAGTAATTGGCATGATCGTCTCTGACTTTATTCTAAATCTTATCTCCCAGGTAAAATACCAATACCTAATTTTTGTGGTTTTAGTTTCAGGGCCTGCCTTAGACTGTAGTAATGCTGAGTTTCCTTGGATCTGTTTTAGTAATAAGCGATATTTCACTACAGAACAAGTTTCTTCTCTTGCCTTTCTGTAGGGGTGGGCTAACAGCACAATTGCACTTGTTGTGCAGCAGGGTGAAGCTGGCTAGTCTTGTCTCATTACTGTGTATTAAGTTGAGTATTTGTGGGTTTAGGCTGACTGCCACACAGTTCTAGAGTGGACAAAAGCAAGTCTTATACACATGCATTCTCTGCATTTGAACTTAAATTGCATGAGTGAATGGGTTTGGAAAGTGAAATCTTGAGGCTCAAGTGACATGTCGGATGCTATTGCAGTCTTCTGTATACAAATACCAACTTCAGATTGCTGTGCTTCAGTGTTACATTCAGGGAAACTTCTCCAGGTCTGGGCACTACCTTAGCAATGGCTCCAACACCAAAGGTCTCCAAACGACACTGTGCTAAAATCTGAGTTTGGGTCCGAAGGCTGTTGGTTTGCAGTAGTTGGAGCAACACTGACTGACGAGCTTACTGATGTCAAAGTAGCTCTAGCCCAGTATGGGACCTTTCATATAAAGCTTCAGCCTGGAGTGAGCTTTCAAAGAAGTTCCACAAATCCCTCAATTAGGGATTTTTTTTCAGGAAACGGACAGTCTTGACTGCACCAGTACCAACATTGCTACTTGAATTGATCTTAACTTGTAAATGGTCTCCTTTTCTTGATGGGTGTTAACATACCACTAAGGCTTTTCCACTTCTCTGCCATGAATAAGTACCTCTTTCAGAGGAGTTTTTTTAATTGTTGGTCTCAATTCCAGGTGGATAAACTGGATGCATCAGAGTCTCTGAGAAAGGAAGAGGAGCAAGCTACGGAAACGCAACCTATCGTTTATGGTAATGCTTTAGTTCATATGTTGTCAGGAACACGTTTTGCTTTTAAAACAACAATTCTCTAGTCACGTGCTTTCCCAAGGAAGTCCTTGGAGATGGGAACGTTCTTCATGTGAAGTCTTAAGGGGATGTGTTCCAAAACACTAGATAAAGTACAAATCTGATGCTGCTGCCAAGTTTGGATAAGGACTGTGAGGTTTAAGATTGTCCTAACTCATATTAGGGAGTTATTGTTTAAACATACAAATGTCTCCAGGGAAGTTGCAGGAATTCTGCTGACTGAACTCCCAGTACCGAGGAATAAAGATAAAAACTGCTCTGTCTTCCAGGTCAGCCACAGCTAATGTTGACAGCAGGACCCAGTGTCGCAGTTCCTCCACAAGCACCTTTTGGCTATGGCTACACCGCGCCTCCGTATGGGCAACCGCAGCCAGGCTTTGGGTACAGCATGTAAGGTGCAGCACAAGTCAGTTTGGAGCTAGCATATTTTCTTACTGAAACTCCACCGTCCCTCCCCGCTTTAACTCATAACAGGGAAAAAGCAAGAGTTCTGCCTCGTGTTCTTGTAACCTTTATTTCATGAAGGACTGTTTTTTCTAGCGCAAACTATTTGAATCACTTATGTTAAATCTTTTTCACATTCCATGTCATTTAGACTTTACTTTAAAAGGGGAATAGTTTAAACAACTTTGTTCAAGTGGGCTTTTGCAGGACTGCTTATTACCATTAAGTCTATTGTGAAGATTCTGATTTGCACTCTATAGTGTTAAACTCTAATATTGAATCTTAAGTTCATTGTATGTGAGCAGCTTACAGTATGTACTGTCTATTCTAAATGCATTTAAGTCTCACTGTATATTCGGAGAAAGCTGAAGCAAAGATACTTGTATTTGACCTTGCAAGACTGCTGACAAGAGACAACACTAATCAGCATATCCTACCCTGGTTGGATTGCATAGCTCTAAAAGAATTTAAAATGCGTACAGACAACCTTGCCTGACTTAAAATGAGTAAAAAAAAAAAAAAAAAAATTTTTTTTCCATAACCTATGCAGGTTTTTCCAGTTATGCATATAGAAAATGCTAGTGTCTTTTTGCTCACTCCATATGTAACAGATGACCTTATGTTGTGCTGTATCCTGTGCTTTTGTGGGACATTCCATTCAGGAACAGAGCACCATGATTCCAATCTGTGTATTTACTAACCCTGCCCTGAGGTTTGTGTATGTTGGATATTGTGGTGTTTTAGATCACTGTTTTGAGTGTACAGAAGAGAGAATTCAAGCATATTGCTGTTCAGTTTTGTTTGTGCAATTTGAAATTACTCAATTTAAAAATAAATTACTGGACTGTGGACATGCTGCATAGTGGTAGCTTCACTTTACTGTCGTCAAAAAGGACCTTAGAACTCGAACCAAGTATTACAGTGCTAGTAGTATGGGGCATGCAGGCGCGTACAGTCGAGGGCGTGAGGGGCCATTAGGAGAGCAGCAATGGAGACCATTAGTGGTGTCTTGCACTGAGGGGGCAATACAAGAAAATATGTAATGGTTTTTCTATAGAAAGATTATGCCAGAGAGAAGGGAATAGCACTTTTCAATAGTTGGCTGCACTGTGGTCAACTACAGCATATTTGACCAGGTGATACGTTAGGATTGTAGTAGGGTGCGTCAGTTAAATTGAGATCATGTTCTAGGTATGTAAGTTGCCTTAAATATATTTAGCTTCAAATAAAATTGACTTAAATGTTTCTCTATGAATACTGTCATATTTGAGCGCAATGAGTATTACAGCACTGGCCACCTTTTGTGATTGCTGTAGGTGCTTCTGCCTCCTAACCAGGAGCCGGCCTCAGTGTCAGGTTCCAGCTCTGGGGCTGAATCCCTGTCCTGCTTGCTTGGGTGAGCCCCACAGCTGAGCACTGCAGCAGTTCCATGTGTAGTGGTGGGTGTCAGGTTTTGGGGGGCTGAACCTGCCACAAGCTGTATGTGGCTGTAAGTCTTTAGTCAAGAGCGTGGTGGAGCAACAGTCTGCAGTGAATAGTGTCAGTCTTCGAAAAGTGTTACGCCTAAGAGGTGCGCTTTAAAAACTTCTGTTCTGTGCTTATTATGCTTGCATTTCAACCCCTCTGACATTCCCTCTGGGTCTGTAAGTTTAACTGATGGAGATAAATCCTTCCGTTCCCTTTTTCGCAACATATTTCATAGGTACTCAACTGGAAGGCATGGCCTGACAGGCTGTAAAAGCACACTTCTTGCAAAACAGCTTTGTTACAAAACTGACTCAGGGAAGTCCACCCCATCAGCAGCGCAGCGCGCTTCTGCAGTGTTAGAGCTGCACTGGGGCTGCACGGGTAGAATTTGCACAGGAGCCGTGATCAGCATGAGCTGAACCCTGTCCAGTAACTTCTGTAATCGAGCACTTCCTTAACCCCAAGAAAACCTGCTAATCCCAAGTAAAACGGGATTTAAGGCACTGACAACCTGTTTATGTGTGGGGAAACTCCCTCTACCTTGGCTAAGCAGGGAGTGCTGACCTGCTTGCAGCTTCCTGCACGTGCAGTAGCTATGCAGACACCTCCAGAAAGGAGTGCCGCTTATGGCTGCTCCCCACAACCGTTTACTTAAGCTCTGGGCTGCAAAGCCTGTTTAACTTGGTCAGCCGCATACCAGTTATAAGCTATTGCACCAGTTACTGGGTTAGAAACTGTGCAGGAAGTTGACTACAGCTGCCCCCATCTCTACAGGGCAATTTTTAACTGCTTCAGTGGCTAATCTTTTCCAACTTAAAAAATGGATCCCTTCAAAAGGCAGGGAGAAGGAACCTGTCATTTTTTTAGGACATGGGACAAATTCTGTTAAGCTTCATTAATGCTTTTCTTCAGCCAGTAAACCCAACAAAGCACAAAACCCTCAATCGATGCCACAAGTCTTAAAATATTATTGTGGGTACTAAAATCCTGCCAGCTCTCCTTTCCTCTACCCCTCTGAGCCTAGCATATTCTTTCCCGCTTTAGAAAGACAATACAGAAGCTAGAGAAACTCATGACTTGCAAATTAAAATCTTACAAAACCTGGTTATTTTATTTATACTGAGAGAATATACAGGGGGAAAAACTTGGGTTTTCTCCCTTCAGTACCACCATACACCACCGCATTCAGATTTCTTTGGTCCCCAGTTTAGAAGAGTTTCAGGTGACCGGAAACTTTATCGACTATATCGGCTGGTCCTGGTCCAATACCAAGGACTGTCTGGGAGCCTGGAGCTATCTGAGTACGGCCTGCGTCTTGTATTAGGCTGACAGTCAGTCCGAGGTGTTTAGCCTCAGCCAGGAGTTGCATCAGAGTCTCCTCATCGGGAGCTTTGAGGACCACCTTAGGTTGCCCGCAGTACTCCCACTGCTTCAGGAGTTCGGGATTTCTTCTCTGAACTTGCTTGTAGGCAGAAACAGCAGCGTGGGAACACTGCGCCGCTACTTTACCCTTTCCCATCTTCAAGTCGTTGCGGACGATCAGCACCATCTTGAACTCCCCGGACTCTCCCATGACGTTGGCTTCGCTCCCCAGGTGGGCGCCGGCTTTGGGCTGCCTGAAGAGCCTCCCGCGGATGCCCCAGCCCAGGCACACTCCGCACGCCACCCCAGCGATGATGCTGAGGAACCCGGGTTTAGAGAGGTAATCCATGATGGATGCGGGAGACCAGCTGTGTGAAAGCGGGGAGAAAGACAGAATTTAATCGAGCGTTTTTCAGCTTGTGAGAGCACACCCGGTTATTTGGAGACAACAGCTGTTAAAAAAAAAAAAAAAAATAATTATCCCATCTTCATGCACTGGGAAAGGATGTTCCGGGATGCCTTCCCCGGTCTCCTGCTCTACCGAGGCCTGCTTTCTCATCGCAAACACGTCACCGGTGACGGGTTTCAAATCGGGATGGGGAAGGAAGTAAAAAAATCCGCAAATTAGGCGACGGGTTACACCAAAACCCGCTGAGGGAAAGGGTAAAATGGTGGGGTTTTTTTTTTAAAGTCAATCCGCAAAATTCACCTGAGAGCTCCTCCCGGGGAGGGAGCGAGGGGCGGGGCAGAGCCAGGCAGCCACGGCCTCGCCAGGCCCCGCGCACCGGCGCTGGCAA